AATTACATTATTAAAACTATAAACGATGGACAGGTGATAATTCTATAATAAAAATCGAACAAATAAATAAAAACATAACAAAGTTCAATAAAAATTGTGGATAAAAGTAAGGCAAGTGAGCTTGATCTTGTAGAACTTGCTTTCTCAAGGCGCGCTTAAAGCATTTTACACTCAGCTGCTTCCATATTTCACAATTTAAATTGTTCCAGTCCTGTATTGCAGACACTACAAACGAGCTTCCTCCTTCAGTCTTTGTCTTGTATGTAGGCGTAATAAAATTCAAACTGCAAACCTGGTATTACGTGAATACCGAGAGCTATTCAATTTCAAGGATTCCATAAGCTATTCTGGCACTGCGTGTTCAATTCCCCCATACGATATTGCACATTTATTAATACGAGTTTCTGCCTAAAAGGTTGCCATTTCACTTTGTTGAAAAGCACAACAGAAGAGGCGCGTGGTATAATCCTTTTGGAAACCTAAAAGACGTAATAAACATTCATTCGTTTCTTTGGATTGCCAAACAACGCTGCCATAAATGAAAAGTGGCCTTATAGAAGAATTGTAATAGAGAATCCTTTGCGTTAAAGGGAGAAAAGACTTAATCGAGTTCAATATACCAGTTCTTTGCGCTAATTTCTTACAAATTCTATCAACTTTCTTTGAAAAAGAAAGTTCTGTATCTATATCTGCTCCTAATAACTTTGAGTATTTTCCCACTAGAAGTAGAAAAGCTTAGTGAATTAGAGGGTACTTTGTCCTTCAGCCGGTTCCCAGTGACCAGCATAGTCTTACACTTTGACTCGTTTAGTAGCAGTCTGTTCATACATGGACGACCAAAGAGCTCTGAGTTCATTTGACCACCTCTTTATCTTAGAAAAGTTGAATACTGATCGTCCTTTGACAGCTGTTAGGAAATGTGGATTGATTTGATTTTGATTTTCTCGCTCGTCAAAGGAATTTCCGATTGGTAACATATACCCTTGCAAACTGGCTGAATGAAAATAGAGCGAACCTGAATAAATATATCTTATTAGATGTTTTGTTGTGTAGTATCGTCGCCGGGTATTTTTATGAGTTCTGCCGTATTTTGACGAGCCCTACGGGGGTAAAAATAACGAGTAAAAATGCTATGCGATACGACACACCATAACGTCTAATTCTAATAAGTTATATATCATCCAATACGCCAGACTTTTATTTCAGCGCGGGCGAATTTCGCGGATTTTATGTTCGGGGAGTGTGTGAGAGAAATATGCGAAGTGGAACGAAGTTGGCGAGTTATCTTGTTGCTGTTTCCATTTTCTTCAATAAATGATGAAACTTCATTGTCGTTTAACCACTTTCCTTCGGTTTATCTAATGAACTGGGATCAGTATTCACTAGCCATTCCGACTCTTCGTCGTCAGAAAAAAAGTCAAATTGATTGCCAATTTTTTTGTAACTTCAATCCAATTCGTCGATTACACGATGCGAGAAAACTTATCTAACCGGTTCTCTGGAGTACAAATACCGCGTGATATTTGTACTCGTCTTGGGCGTTATTTGAACTCTACGGAGTATTACAGTTTTATAATAAACGATAATCCTACAGGTCTTGAACTGATACTTTCCCCCGTTTACCGCGCGATCGAGTTACATGGTTCATTTGAATACTAAGATCCCTTTTTACATAAGCACGATGAGGATGGTGCTTTTAGCGTGTCTTTGCTTCTCGGAAATCAAGGGGAAAGGAAGCAGCAGAGATAGGATCTGTCATTGGAATTCTGCATAAGTGCTCTCCTACGCATTTTACACATTTACCTCAGGTGCAAGTGGTAGGTAAGTAAGTTCTTTTTTTGTACAAGATGTCCACCGATAAGAAAGAATCTAGAAACAAGATCACATTGAAAATGTGAACTGAATTATGAATCCAAGTATTTTTCATAGTTATTTTTAAATATATTTGGTCTAAGTGTTTACGAGCTGATTTTTACCCTGTTTTTGTCGCTATTTCACGATATTTCTACAATAGTTGTCACATAGGATATGAAATTTTACCCTATGGAAAATAGAATTTCTACTATAATCATTATTATTATTATTATTGTTTTTAGAAGATTTGACGGAACAAGTAAGCTTCTTTTTTGTCAGTCATTTCGGTCTTATGGACTGACTACGAGTTTCACGAGCTCGAGAGTTAAGAGAGAACATCTTTTTGACAGCGAGATTCTCGAACAAATCCATAAACTTATATATAACAGTTGGTGACATCGCAGTGCTGCGGGGAGTTTTTATACTTGGCGGTCGAATTTTTCGGGTAAACTAAGAGAGCGACAGCAACGAGAGCGTGGGGAAGCAACGGAGCATCTGCTTCTTATGTATCTTTTTCAACTTCTGTGTAATGAGGATTCCGATTAAAGATCCTTTTGACTACACACAGCTTGAAAATATATCTTAACTCCCTTCCAAACTCATACCGTGGAAACCTCTGCCTGCGTTTTCATTATCACCCTTTTAGTTAACAACTTTTCTTTCCTTGATGTTTTATTTGTATGCCCTTCAGCAAATTTCAATCCGATTCAGACTTGAACGCAAAACGGCCGGGTCGGCCGTTTTGCGTTCTTGTTTGTACCATATACTCACTTTGTTTGGGAATTTAGGCCTTGGGAGGAAACGAGATCACTAAGGATCGAGTGATGTACCTGTGGATTTCATCTTGTTGTGTTCAAATCTTCCTACAATTTTATTTGCATATTTGTCGGGTTTCTTCTGTCGCAGTTTGTAATAGCTGTCGCACTTCGTAACAACGCTTGTAGCAGGCACTTCGTAAAATACTTGACATAGATATTCGGAGGACGAGTAGACTAAGTAATAGCGTCATTTCTGTTGATAATAACGATAGGAATGATATTGATAATAATAACAATAGTGAAGTTGACTATTATGGGTTATTTAAGTGATGATAATGATAGTGATGTTCAGCATACTGTCAGTAAGAGCAGTGTTTCCCTCAACGAAGACACCAGGTGCGGCTACAAGGGGTAGTACAGTTATCTACTCCACCTACGCGGACGACCTCGAGACCAAAAGAGCGTCCATAATAGCAAATATTAGTGTCCTTGGGGCGAGAGTTGACTGAAAACATATCTTGCAGTCTTTTCTGCATAGATGAGTTGAATTGATAACTGCAATTTCCCGGGAAGATTTTGAAGCTGAAGAATGCAGCTAGTGTCTCCGTTGAAGGACACATAAATAATACTGCACTTACTAATAACACTATCATTGTCATCAGCATTCAGCAATATATCTATAACAAATTTATTGCGAAGTGCGACAGAACTTGTGTTTGTGGCCATTATTCTTTTCGGCTACCTCTTATGGAGGCGAAGCCAAATACGTCGTAGAAATTAGTCTATGAGACTAAGTAGTAATAGGATGCCAAACTTCACCAGATGTTGATCTATTGTTAGTTGGGGAGTATCTTTAATAACTTAAAGCTTTTTTAAAACTGATCCGAGCTCCCCAAGATCAGTGGTTAAAGATTTTTTGGAGGACTGTTGTGGTTTTTTCTTATACTTCGGTCTTTTCAAAGTAAAAATCGTTCATGAACATGAAAGTGATCTGTGCAGGACTGAGTAAAACAGGAACCACATCCATGGCGACAGCTTTGCGGATTCTCGGCCTCGCCGTGTACGACTGGTCGGAACACTGCACCATTCATGTAGACGAGTGGCTCAATATTCTTCACAGGGGCAAGATACCCGACTTTTCCGCTATGTACAACAATGTTGACGCAGTGACTGACCTTCCAGCAGCGATTTGGTTTCAAGAAATCCTTGAGGTATTTCCAGATGCAAAAGTCATTTTAACAGTTCGAGACAACGAAGATGTTTGGGTGAGGAGTTGGTCAAAACAGCAAGAGGTGGAGAACAACCTTAATGGCTGCTGGTTTCCGACAAGGATACTGGAGAGGCAGTGGCTCTACCATAAATATTATGCACTTGCGGATGCAACGAATTCCGCAGCTTTTGGAAGCCTAAACCCAAAATCAGTTGTTCTGTTCAAGAAGAAGTATCGCGAGCATAATGAACGAGTGAAAGTTGTCGTTCGAAAGGAAAACTTGTTGATCTTCAACGTGAAGCAGGGCTGGGGACCTCTCTGCGAATTTCTCAAGTGTCAGATCCCGACGCAAGAGCCCTTTCCTCGGATAAATGTAGCATTATCGAATACCTTTGAAAAAATGGCAAAACGTCAGCAAGAGGTAAAATTAAAATTACTTCTAGTTTTTATTTCATTATGCGTTTTTCAATGTTTTCTATACATGCTTTTTGTATGAATCTAGGCTAAGGAAGGAATTGAAAGCATTTCCGAGAGTTATCTTTTAATATCGTATTTTCAACTTGACTTTTGTCACGATTGAATTGTACTCACTGAAAAGTTTTCAACTTGAAAATCGATTGCTGTTAAAAAGCATTCCGCCAATTTTTAGACTTGACTAAACTTTCTGCTGAATTGTTTCTATGCTAACAGCATTTTTATCATTTATGCAGTGGTGATAATTACAAAATCCACATTCTCAGATAATAATAATACTAAATAATACAAGAATTTATATAGCGCCATTTCTGTGAGCTCAATGGCGCTTTACAATAATCGTAATTCTAAAAATAAAAAATTTGAACATTTAAGTTATTATAGAACGTCTATGACAGTCGTAGAATTTAATTTCAAAAACAAGATACAATCGACCCTCTAAGATCAACTAAGGTAAATATATACAATAAAGAGAAAAAAAGGGTAGTCAACTAACAAATAAAAGCCTCTCTTAAAAGTCGTGTTTTAATCTCATTTTTAAAAACATCAAGGTTATTGGATTGATCATATGTCATCAGTTTAGGGAGTTCCAGAGCCTGGGCGCAGCAACTAGATCAGCTAGATCTGTCACCGTAAAACTTGAGATTAGACTTTGGTGTTACAAGGAGATTATTTGAAGAAGATCGTATTGCCTCGTCGGAGTAGAGGAGATCTGCATTATATATTGACGCCATGCTTTTTAGTGCTTTGTAAGTAAGAAGCAGTATTTTGTACGTAATTCGTTGTCTGACTGGTAGCCAGTATAGTCTACGAAGAACTCGTGTCATATGTTCTAAACTTCGAGTTCTAGTAACCAGTCGAGCTGCGCAGTTTTATACATACTGAGCCTATCAATAACCGATTGAGGTAAGCTCTATAGAAGGGCATTACGGATGATTATATAATTTTCAAATCATACTTCTTTTGAGTACTGTGGTCAAGTTTTTGCTCTTGAAAAAGTCATTAGGTTCTCTTGTCAAAATTCACAAAAAAGTATGGTTTGATACTAGACTGATTTACGTAGAGAATGGTATAACAACAGCTTGTTCCTGACCACATGGTTGAAGGTTAAACTGGATGCTACTGTAGCGGAACTACTCAGTATTCGTTCCTTTGTAATCTTCAGTTCAATTAACGCATAGGATTTGGCTAAATTCATGATTTTACACAATATGCTAATTGTATAAACACAAAAGAATGTGACACAAGGCATGGACCATCTACCATCTACACTACCCCTGATGGAATCAGCAATGGCTAAACCACCATTTCTGTAGCGTAGGGCCAGTTTTAGCAAATGAGATTCCCCTCACAGACGCAAAGTTTACCGACTATCTTCTTCCTCTGCCACATGTCTTTTCTCTAACTAAAACATCTAACGATATCGTACTAAAACTGATTCAATCGTTACCGCTGAACAAGGCAAGTGGTCTTGATGGTATTTCTGCTAAACTATTAAGAGAGGCGGGACCTATTGTCTCTGCATCCTTGACCTACATCACAAATAGATCTTTAACTACCGGTACAATCATCAGGAAAAATGATTTTTCCTGATGATAGGAAGGTAGCCAGACTCACTCCTATTTACAAGGATGATATCAAAACTAATCCAAATAATTATAGACCTATATCTGTCTTGCTGATTGTCAGTAAACTTATTGAGAGAGTAGTCTTCAACCAGTTGTATGTTCTTTTAATGAGGCATGATTTACTTGCCGATGCTCAGTTGGGTTTTTGACCTTGTCATTCCACTTTGACTGCCCTTCTAGATATAACCAATGATTGGTTTTCTAATATGGATAATGGCTGACTAAATGGAGTTCTTTTTCTCCATCTTAAAAAAGCTTTCGATACTGTTGATCATGAATTACTACTTAAAAAGCTGAATTTCTATGGGGTTGATTCTATAAGCTTAAAATGGTTTCAATCGTATCTGACTGATCGTAAGCAAATAACTTATGTTAATGCTTCTCTTTCTGATTATGGCTCAACTGTGTGTGGTGTCCCTAAAGGTTCCATCCTGGGACCTTTATTATTCTTGATTTATATAAATGATCTTCCCGCGAGTAATCTATCCTCAACACCAAGACTGTATGCTGATGATACTTGTCTTACCCTTATTGCTCATGATCCTACTGATCTACAAATAAAGCTGAACAGTGATCTAAAAAAATCCAGTCTTGGCTCCAAGCAAATAAACTTAGTCTTAAAGTGAAGAAAACTAAATATTCCATTATTTCTATTCAATACAAGATCCCACGTCTAGATCATCAACCTGATGTAAGAATAAATGGACATTCTGTGGATAGAGTGAGAACCCAGAGATACCTAGGAGTCGAAATTGATGATACTTTAACGTGGCACTCTCAAATTGATCAGATTGTTAAAAAGTATCAGCTGGCCTGGCAATTATAAAGKGGGCCAGGGCCGTAGTTCCGCGTGACACCTTAATTCACATGTAGAATTCCCTGGTTGTTCCATTTTTCGACTAATGTAGCCCAGTATGCGGTTGTATCAGAAAATGCCGATCTGAGAGACTCCAGAAGCTGCATAATAGAGCTGCTCGTATAATAACCAATTCTGATAATATGACGCCATCTGCTAGTTTATTACATGACTTTGGCTGGGATACACTTGAAAAAAGGCGTACGAAACAGCTAGCAATTACTATGTATAAGGTGGTCAATAATCACTTTCCACCTCGCCTTCATAATCTTTTTCAAACAACGCCGCAGGTCCATACCTATAATTTGAGGGACTCGGCTCATAATCTCTTAACTCCCAGACCACTCTCTGAAGCCGGAAAACGTAGCCTGCAGTATCGAGGTGCTACACAATGGAATAGCCTCTCAACTACTAGCAAAACCCAGACCACTGTTACTGTCTTCAAAGAATCCCTGCTGACATAGCAATTGCTTTTTGTTATAATTTTAACGATCTTTTTATTTTAGGATTTAATAGCTCTTATTGTACGAAAAGTTGTAGTATTAGTATTTATTTTTAGCACTGCTGTTAGTATATAGTATTGGAATATTAGAATCAGCATGAGTTGTATTAATTAGCAGAAATAGCGCTCGTTCTAGATTGCTTATAAATTATTATTTGTATATTTAACTTGCACACGGCTCGATGGAAGAGCATATTTTATATGAAATTGATACCGTGTATAAATAAAGCTTATGTATGTGTGTATGCTTATGTATGTATGTATGTATGTATGTATGTATGGACGCACGAAAATTTGTGTAGTTAGAATGACAGCACACAATGAGTTAATAATTGTAAGCTATAATTTGTTGCTCGTTTCGATAGTTCTCTCTTCTCTTGAAGAATCAAGGCGTCTCAAAATATCAGGCATCGATTGTTTTAATGGAGGTTTTCAATGTGAGTTCAACTGTAGCGTTACCCTTGCGTTACTTTGGTTTTTGGTCACGTCACAAGTCATGCGCAGTAAGCGTAAAGCGGACCTCGTGCTTTCATATTTCGATGGTGCTCCCTTAAAAAACGATAGCACCCAAATTTTTTGTAGATTTATCGTTTCTGTTTGGTTTTTCGTGCACGTTTTCGCCCCAAGATCGGGATAGAGGTACGCCCTTAAAGTTACTTATTGTAATCGCTCTAACGTTGTTTGTCATTTTAATTCCTTTTATTTCTTAATTCATCGGTTCAGTCACCGACATTCACTAATTTCGCGATATACTTATTTCTTCTTGTATAATGTTTATCATTCGGATCGGCTACCGATTTCACTAATCGTGCCTTGAATCGATTAAGCTATAGTTAGGTTTTTAGCTTGGTTATTGCATGCTTGTTTCAGTTTTTACGTGTTGGACCACATTAAAGAATAACCTCATTTAACTCTACTTCGTGGTGTTTGTCTTCAATGTGAGATTCGACTTAGTTCTTCAACCTATCGCCGCCAAATCAACCTTGAGTGCTTTCTTCTTACCTGGACGAGGCATGCACGCAAAGCCAGTGCATGGCCTCCTCCAGTTACGGGATCCGGCATGAGCCTTCAGCTGAGCACAAATTGGCCATGTAGCCAACTAGACCTAACCTTACTCAGACAAGCGTTATTGACCTACGAAGAGAAGTAAAACATCTCCAGCTTGTCAATCTTGATACTCTGGAAACTTTTTCGACACAAAAAAATGTCAGAGAGGGTTTCCCTTTATCACCAAAGCTCTTTATTAAATGAGTAGATATCTGTGCTAATGCTGTATATTAGACTGCTATAAGTCGTACGATGGAGGAGTTTGATTGTAAATGTCTTCTGTGTCAACTATACTTCATTCCGAAAGAGCTCTACGGAGTACGTTAGAGATTCTTGTCGTGAAGATATTATAATGAAAACGCTAAAATCAACTAAAAACAAAACCAAAAAAAAATGCTGGTTCTGGACAATGTGAGATAACCCAAATTTTAGACTAGAAATTGTTGAGCGTTCGTTCGTGTACGATTTATGGATAAAATCTTGTTGTTCACATGCTAGAAACTCGTGCCATTTCTTGGAAAATACCTCCCTTCTTGTTCATGAGTGAGTCAAATTTGTCAAATTCATCAATCTCTCCATCTTTTAACACCAAAATTATGTCGCAGTCTTTGATAGTATTCAAACGGTGAGCTATAGTGATTGCTGTACTGTCCTTCAGTTTATCACGCACTACATTCCAGATTGTTTGTTCTGTGTCTGGATCAACGTGCGCTGTAGGTTCGTCCAATACGATTATCTTGCTTCGCTGCAACAACACACGGGCCAAGCAAATTAACTGCCGCTCTCCTACACTGATATTTGTTCCATTTTCCATTAACACGTAGCCCAACTGTCCTTCCAGGCTTTCTACCAAACCTTTCAGCTGCACTTCCTCTAAAACTCGCCAAAGATCCACATCCTCATAGCGGTTCAACACATCCAGATTTCTTCTCAATGATCCACTAAAAAGAATAGGATTTTGACCAAGAACTGAAATACATTTTCTGGCGTCTTGAATGTTTATCTCTTTTATTGGAATGTTATCGATTATAATCTCACCGACAGCATCAGGCATGCGCATGAGAGCTGACACAAAAGACGACTTTCCTGCACCCGTGCGGCCAGCTAAACCAATCTTTTCTCCTCCATTGATGCAAAAATTAACCTTTTTCAGTACCTGTGGTCCGCCTGGGTAGTAGGTCAATGACACATTTTTGAATGTGATGCTCCCTTCATGCGGCCAGTGTTCCGGAGGACGCCTCTCTACCTTATATCCAGGTTCAGGGTCAATTTTGGTGAAGGAGATAACTCGTTCAACTGAGGTCATGTAATTCTCTACGTCCGAAATTTTTCTGACAGCCAATGCAAACAAACCGTTTGCCTGTATGACGTACACAAATGAGAGCCCAGCGGATGCTGATAGAAAAAAATAGAAACAGTCAAAACATGTAGATTGGTAAAGGAGATGATAGGAGATGCATGTTAATTATCAACTAAGGATGTAAAATTACCGGCATCTTGAGCCGTGAAAGCTGCTACAAGAGTCACTGCACCAATTAAAAGAGAGGCGACAATATCCAAGCGTACACTTAGCCATCTCCCACTAGCAATCACCATAATGTACGACTGATTATGAACATCTTGAGATCTGCCAGATAAATGAAGAATTTGACTCAGATCAAATAATAAATTGCAGATGTAATATCATCTGTCTCGGATTCTTTGGAAGTAAAACTGATTATTGTTCAATCCAAGATAAACTCGAATTTCTTCGTGACATCTTTATTCAAAGTACACTCATCCAGGTGAGACACGACAACCTCGGGAAGTTTCGCTTTGTTTTACGTGCGTACTAAGTTACTGTCTCAGTAGCTACCACCGTCATAAACTCACCTGCAAAACGCATCTATGAAATGGCTTTGTCTTCCCCTTGTACGAATAGTTTCCAGTCCTATTAGGGTTTCTGAAATATGAGAGAAGACTGGACTGCGACTTATGGACTCCAACCGTTTAAGTTCCATAGAGCTCTTCAAGTAATAATTGATTATTAACACAACTATCACGGTCATTGGAATGACAGCAAACAGAAGCCATAGGTTGGAGGCAATTGGCAGAAGTACTGCCGTAAAAACCAGCAAAAGCATGTGAAATGCAAATATAAATGATTTGGGCAACACCTCATCCACACAACCTATGTCGTTAGAAAAGCGATTAAGGACTCTTCCGGAGGGATTTGAATCAAAGAACAAAACCGGTGCTTGTAAAATAGCCACAACCATCTTTTCATGAATTCGTTCAGCGGATTTCAGAGAAACCAGAAGGAATGCGTATGCTCGAGTAAAGGCGAATATGGAGCAGGCACCAACGAGACTTCCGTAGATTATTAGATTTGTCTTGTCTTTCCATTCTTTCGAAATCTTCGTTGTAAGAAATGAGATCCAGACTTCTGGGGCAACTATGGAGGCTATAACAGATGAAAAAGAAAGAAAAGTGAAAACACATTTATTAGCACTTCAACAAGAAGAGGTGGGTGTAATTATACAACAAATACACAGTCGGATGTGAATGATAAAATAGATTGAAAATGAACGAGTAAAAAACTGGAAAGCAGACGCGACATTTCTTTCTTAAGCCTCTCAAACATGCGGTTCATGACTGTTCTGCGAAGAGAGATATCCTCAGACGTGGCTTAATAAGCGCGTTCTCTAGAGAGTTAAGGTTTCGTAAACAAATACATATTTTAATTTACAGCTAGTAGGCGACCTGGCAATCCTGACTCGCAGTAAGTTAAAAACTCTCCAGTAGATCATACTCTGATTACCTTGTGTGAAAAGAGAGAAACAAACAACTGCAATAATCACCAGTGGGTGGACTCCACTCCTGAAGTATTCCCAGTAAAGCTTGGATATCAATACCCCAATTGAACGATCTTCGTGGACCATTTCCAGACCTTTGCCTTTATCAGAAACTCGAGTAATATCTGTACATTTATCGGAATCTTCAGATTTTTCACTAATCCTGTGACCAAAGCTTCCCTCTGATTTAGTGCTATCATCAGGAGCCGCCTTAAAGAGCGGGTCCATGGTTGAACTTATGACGCCTTTTTCTTGCAGCTCAGTGAAGCAACCCTTTTCTAGCACACGCCCTTTACACAACAAAATGGCTTCTTCTGCGTCTTTCATATGCTGTCCTTGATGGGAAGTCAGCAGACAGGTTTTATTGCTCAGGACGCCTTTAATGCATTTTTCAAAGATGTACCGTCCAACCTTATAATCAACAGCGCTCAGCGGATCATCCAATAGATAAAAATCTTTGTCAACATAAACTGCGCGTGCTAAACTCAATCTTGCTTGCTGTCCTCCGCTCAGAAGCTCACCGCGTTCTCCAACAATCGTTTGATCTTCGTCGGGAAATCGCTGGATGTCTTCTTTAAGAGCACAGGCTTCGATTATTCTGTTGTATTTAGATTCCTCGTAGGGCTGACCAAATAAAAGGTTTTCTCTTATTGTTCCAGAAAAAATCCAAGGTATCTGGGGAAGATAACTGATCGTCCCTTGCAAATTTATCGTTCCGCAAGTTGGACGGATTTCTCCAGCGATCACGGAAAGAAGAGTAGATTTCCCGCTGCCAACGGGTCCGGTAATGACCGTTAAACTTTTAAACGGTATGACAAGCTCAATATCCCGCACAATAAGTTCTCCTTCCCGATCATTTTGCTTGAATGTTACATTTGACACACGCAACAATGTAGACTTATCCAAATCGTTTAATTTACCAGCAGCACCGGAAATGTGATCCGTTTTCTCGAGAAAATCACTCTCTTTGTTACCCGGGTCTTCTTCACAAACTTCATCATCTTCCAAGTCTGGTAAAAGGAGAAAGTCTTCGATTCTGCCGAACGAGACATATGCATCGTATGTTGTGAGAAAACAATTTGCCAAGCAAATGCAAACGTTTCGCCTGATAATACTCAGAAAAGAGATAATAACAAAAAGCTTTACAGGCGTAATGGTCTGACCAGTCAGTATCATGGCAAAGACAGAAAATAGGGTTGCCATTGGCCTTGCACTGAACATCAGGCCATCGACACTAGACAGAATGGCGTTCCTTTTATTTATGATGCTGATTTCACGCCTGAAAATAGAAAGAGAGAATACCACTCTGAACGGTAAATATTAAATTTCCCTTTCTTTTTTCGTGCTCATATTATCATGCTCTCTGATGCAATTTTAAGGATCGTGAGAGGGTTAAAAATGGTTCTTATCCTTAGCAAGTTGCCTCAGGAAAGATGCTAATGCAAAAATAATGTCTCCCCTATTCCAAATGCTAAGCCCGCAACTGACCAGGGAATTTTTTTGATGCTGTATCTCATATGCACTCACAACAGAGGCGCAAAGCTATAGTCTTAATTTGTAGAAAGTAAGAGCAAAACCTTTCAAAGAAGAAAATCAGTAATTAACACTTTGTAGAAGGGAGTTCAAAATAAGTTTAAAGCTAATTTCTGTACAGGAGCAAATTGCCTCTCGAGCAATCAACTGCAAGCCCAGATCGTCTTTGTCTTGTTGCCATAGACATGCTCGTTTCTAGGCTCAGATTGAAAATCAGTTCAACGATTCATGTTTTCCTCACCTTCGAAAATCTCCTATCTTTGCTCCATATGTGTCTTCCCACGCATGCATTTTGATGGAGCGTATCCCGCAAATCACCTGGTTCATCAAGGAGATGCGTAGATCAGACATTGCTGCTGTGCGAAGGCGCAGAACAGCGTTAACGTGCGACAAAGAGGCGAAACATGGTAGAAGGACTAAAAGAAAGATGACTCCTATAACAGCTTGCCAGCCAATCAAGTAATCAAGCAGAAACAAGGTGGCCACACATTCCAGGATAGCGAAAGGAAAGTGGAAAAACCACGTGATGAAATCTTCTTCCACTCTTTTAATATCATTGGAGATTAAATCAAACACGTGCCCGGTTGTAAATTTCAAAAGCTTCTGTTTGCTGAGTGATAGCGTCTGCAAATTTAAAAAACCTCTTGAATTTACTTGGCATTGCAATAATGGGCTTCTGTTTGGTGCTAGCCAAGGAACTAAAAACGTAGGGAAGCCTTAACCCGAGGCTTGACACCAATAGATAGTTCAGAGACTGATGAATAAATGAAGTAAGTTTCTAAAGAAACTGTGACGTTGCTCCCACGTCGTCACTATGTTCCTACCAATAGTGCAACTCCTTTTTCTGCATATAAACACACACCTAACGTATAGTTCCTTCATACGCTTTAACAAGGGGCTGACCCTTGAAACGGCAGCTTTGAAACCCTTTGCGGTGACCAATTTACAATAAGAACTCAGCTGATAAACCCCAAATTACCCATGCCAGTTCAGGGGCTAGCCTATTAGAAAGGTACGAAGGGCTTTTCATGCCAGTCCAGTTACATCAGTAGTCGTCAAGAGTCCCCCTGGAAAGGCCTTTCAGTTTTCTTTTTCTTTTTCCCGCGGGCTAGGTTACATAGTTATGCTTGGCTTTGTTTATTTTGTGGTTGAGTTTATGCCGTTGCTTAAAGAAAAGTAGGATTTTCTTAATTGCACTTACCTTGCGGTACACCAGACCTCGCAGGGCGCTACCTACTCTGATCCCCAACAGCTCACACCTGTAACTCTGCTGATGCATTCCAAGCCCTCCAATTAATGCAAGGAAACACAAAGTTAAAGCACAACCATAAAAATAAAGATTTTTCCCCGTTCCGCCTGACATAAGGTTGGAAACGAGATATCCCAGAAGCAATGGACACATGATGCGATAACTCGAAAACAAAGAATTCCCGAAATAAATGATCATGGCATCCTTTACAGAGAGAAATCTCAGCGCGCTTTTCCAGAGTTTAGGTCTTTTCCCTTTTCTTTTACAATCACGTCTCTCACTGTTCCAGTTCGCTCGAAGCTCGTTGGTCAAAAACATGGTTGAGTTTTCCTTTGATAAGGGTAAAAAGTCGCTCGAATCTAAAGGTCGTTCACTGCCTTTCTTAAGGATACCGTTCATCCATCGAAAGAAAACAGCAGACAGTACACTAACTTCATCATCGTCATCATTTGGGATTCTCGCGTATTCACCTTTCCAAGCCATTACTTGAGATCTAAAAGCCTGTACAAAAAAGGAATGAAAACAGACTGAATCCGATGTGAGTAAAATATTGGAAACATTTCGCAATCTTAGTCAAGAAACTGAAAAACTACCAACGTTGATAATAGCTTGTAAAAAATTTCCCATGTTATTTGCATAGATTTTGGAGTCAAGTCAACGTAACTGGACGACCGAAGAGCTCTGAGTTTTTTGCATTCACCTCTTTATCTCAGAACAGTTAAATACTGATCGTCCTCTGATGGCTGTTAGGAAAAATAGATTGACTTGATTTTATGTATCTCGATCGTCAAAAGAATTTCAAATCGGTGACTTATAGCCTTACAAAATGGCTAAATGAAGATAAAGCGAACCTGAATAAAATATTATCTTACAGGTCTTGAATTGATGCTTTTCTTCGTTTACCGCTCCATCGAATTACATGGTTCATTTAAATACTACCATCCCTTATTACATAATCACGAAAACCACATGCTTTTAAGAACGGTATCTCTTCTCTTTCGGAAATCAAAGGGAACGGAAACAGCAAGTAATAGGGATTGTGATTGAAATTCTGCGTTGGTACCTTCCTACGCATTTCACACATTTTCCACAGATGTAAGTGATAGGTAGGTAACTTATTCATTTATACAAGATGTCCAGCGATAGGTAAGAATATAGAAATAAGATAACTTTAAAATTGTGAACTGGATTACGAGTCCGAGTAATTTCAAAGTAATTTTTAAATATAATTTAGTATATTAAGTGTTTACGAGCTGATTTTTGGCCTATTTTTGTTGCTAGTTGACGATGTTTTTAGAATTGTTGAAACATAGGATAGGAAATTTTATCTTATGGCACGTAACTTTTCTTGCCCTGATGTTTTATCTGTATGTCTTCCAGCAAGTCTGAACCCAACCGTTTTGCGTTCTTGTTAACAATATGCGATTCATACATAACAGTTGGAGCCATCACAGCGGTGCAAGGGTCTTAACTTACTGATCGGATATTTCGCGTAAACTATGAAAGCGACAGCAACGAGAACGTCGGAAAGCTGTCGGTTTAATACATGGAGCATTTTTTACGTGCCTTGTTTTAACTTCTGTTTAATGATGGTTAAATAAAGATCTGTTTGCTTGCCCAGAGCATGAAAATACATCTTAGCTCTATTCCAGACTTATACCGTGGAAACTTCTACGTACCTGTGTGTCACCCTTTTAGCTGTCAACCTTGCCGTGATGTTTTATCTTTATGCCTTTCAGCGAGTCTGAATCCGGCCGTTTTGCGTTCTTGTCTGTACCATATACTAATATTAATGTCCTTAAGGCGAGAGTTAATTGAAAACATATCTTGCGGTCTCGTTTGCATAGATGGAGTTAATGACTGCAACTTTAAAGAAGATCGATCTAGAATTCGGAAAAATACAGATGGTGTCTTCGTTCAGGGACGCATAAATATTAGTGCTCTTACTAATGTCACTATCAATGTCATCAGCTTTCAAAATACTATTAATATTGTTATCATCATTATTATTGAGATGAATGATAGCTACCATTGAAATGCTTGGCCTCCGAATATCATCGTCTAAGCAGATGGAGTTGATAACTATAGAGAAGATATTTGTTTACAAACAGTCTTTGTTATTTAAATGTTCAAAACCTTAAACAAAAGAACTGTTTGTTTCACTAGCCAATAGTTCTCTTGTTGGCATATTAATAAAAGTAGGTGACGTCATTAACATCTTTGCCTTACTCCTGTACACTATGATTATCATTATTTTAACAACCATCATTATCAACCTCGCTATTGTCATTACTATAAATACCATTGTTATCATTGACAGGAATGACGCTAGCACTTAGTCTACTTTTCCTCCGAATATCAATGCCAAGTATATTGTGAAGTGCTAGGAAGTAATGTTACATTGTGCGACAGGTATTACAAACTGCAACAGAAGAACCCCGACAAATGTGCAAATCAAATTGTTTACCCGTCATAATTTATTTGATGCAAACCAACATATTCTGGTGAAACGGTGTGACTGTTTTTTTTCACCAACGAAAGAAAAGGTAACATCATGAGGGATTTCCATTGTCTATTACATAACCAAACAACATGTGTGCAGCACGTGTTTTCTGCCCATAATACTCTCAGATCCTCCTTCAGCCTAAATGCCCACATAAAGCAAGTATTAGCAGAAATTAGAACACATAAAAATTTATCGACAATACTCTCGGTCCTTCCTAAAGCCAAAATCTTCACACAAAGCAAGTATAAGGCGTTTAAAACAACGCACAATGAAGAAAAATAAGAGCTACTTTAAATCTTAACTTCTGTTGACGTTCCCTTAATCTTTTCAAGGCTCTTGCTACGGGATCTGACACTCGAGGAATTCGCAGAGTGGCTTCCAGCCCTGCTTTACGTTTAATATCAACAAATTTTCTGGCTTTCGGACGACAGCTTTCACGCGTTCATTGCGGCCGATAAATTATTAAAAACAGAGAAGTAGAGTGATGGTTTAAACTTCCAAAAGTAGCGGAGTTCATTGCATTCAGAAGTGCACAGTATTTTCGGTAGAACCATTGCCTCTGCACTGAGTATTTTCATCGGAAGCCAGTAGCCATTAAGGTAGTTGTCCACCTCTAGCTCTTTTATCCATCTCCTAAGCCAAAAATCTTTGTTGTCTCGGACTGTCAAAAAACGGCTTTTGCGTCTGGGAACGTTTCCAGGATTTCTTGAAACCAAAACGCTGCTGGATGGTCAATCACTGCGTCAACGTCCTCGTAAATGGCAGCAAAGTCGGGTGTTTTACCCCTTTGAATAATATTGAGCCACCCTTTAGCATGGAAGGCGTAATGATCCGGTTAGTCGTGTACTGTTAAATTATAAGCCGAGTATACGCAAAGCTGCGGCCATGGATATGGTAACTGTTTTACTTAATCCAGCGCAGATCACTTTCATGTTAATAGGCGATTTTTAACTTGAAAAGAAGGAGAATAATCCATAGAGGCATAAACACTCCACTCATGCCTACCTCAATATTTATCAGTTGATTTAGAAAGATGCCAGAANATAAATAAATAAATAAATAAAATAATTCATCAATAATGCAATTTAATCATAACAACTATAGTAACTAATTAAACGCCCTATTAAATAAAAAAGTTTTAAGTCTAATTTTAAAAATATCTAAACTGGAAATAGATCTTATTGTGGTAGGAAGCAGATTCCAAAGTCTAGGGGCGGCACAACTAAACGATCTATCTGCCAGGGTCTTCTTGGATATTATTTTCGGGAAAGTTAATAAAGCTGCGGAGTCATCGTTGCGCCTTAAATTATACCTAGACGGCGGCAAGACAGATATTAAATGGCGCAAGTAATCGGGCGCCATACCATGCAATACCTTAAATGTAAGAAGAATTATTTTATATTTGATACAATAACACATATGTAGTTCGTGCATGGCAGGACGGAGAATGCGTCCATTGTAAGTACCTTCTGTTGTCCCATATAGAGCCTTAGAAAAGTTTTCTAAGGCTTTGTATGTGGCAACGGGAGGTACTTA